TCTGCATGTGTGTGTGTAATAAATGTACGTCTGTATGATTCACATGTGGAATAACAGCTTCACAGCTCATAATGATGAAGGACTAAAGGCTCGTTTACTGTGTGACGCGTCATAATCACAATTACCTGATGATCTGTGCCTGTGCTTTCATTCCAGTGTATTATACAGTGTTGTATTTTATGATTTATTCGCTTTAGGCTTATTCTATATATCGCTGAAACTCAAACTCAGTGTAAACAAAACATATCTTAATATTTTTTCTTCTGGAGAAAGTCTTATTTGTTTTATTTCGGCTAGTGTAAAAGCAGTTTTTAATTGTTTTAAAGCCATTTTAAGGTCAATATTATTAGCCACCTAAGCAATATTACTTTTGGATTGTCTCCAGAACAAACCACAGTTATACAATGACTTGCCTAATTACCCTAACTTTACCCTAATTACCCTAGTGAAGCCTTTAAATGTCACTTGAAAGTGTCTTGAAGAATATCTAGTCTAATATTATGTGCTGTCATCATGGTGAAGATCGAAGAAACCAGTTATTAGAAATGAGTTATTAAGCTTGTGTTGTGTGTATTGTGTGTGTGCAGCAGTAAGTCCAGTAAGGAGGAAGCGGTGCTGCAGAGGAAGACGGCGGCCAGCGCTCCTCCTCCTCCCACAGAGGAGCAGATCTCCAGCAGCTCTGAAGACGACAGTGAAGACGATCGAGAAGACGACGCCAGCGCCTCGCAGAGATCCACACCTATCAGACTGACGGAGACCAGCCATGAGGTGCACACACACACACAAGGGCGCAGAATTAACATGGAATGAGTGGACATGTCTCCACCAATATCCACTGATTAATAAGGGTTAGATTACGCCTGCACCAATGTCAAAAGCAAATCTGCACCATTGCACACTCACACAGCTCAAATCATCATCAATATCAGCAACAACACCAGTCATAACATGGTTAGTTAGCTAAAAACCTTAAGTTACTTTACAGAGTGATATAATGAATATGAATGCACAATTGAACACCTCCCATGGCCTGCACAGTACCCAGAACTGAACATTATTGAGCACTTTGGGGTGTTTTGGAGGAGCGAGTAAGGGAAGATTTTCCTCCAGCAGCATCATGTAGTGACCTGAACATTCACAACTGAAACACACAGTGGTGTAGAATTAGCATGGACAGAGTGGACATGTCTCCACCAATATCCACCAAAAAATAAGGGTTAAATTAGGCCTGCACCAATATCAAGAGCAAATCTACACACTCACACACAAACAGCTCAAGTCATCATCAACATCAGCAACACCACCATTCATAACATGGTTAGTTAGCTAAAAACTTTTGAGTGATTTGATGAAGATGAAAGTGCAGTTAAACATCTCCCATGGCCTGCACAGTACCCAGAGCTAAACATTATTGAGCACTTTGGGGTGTTTTGGAGGAGCGAGTCTGGGAAGATTTTCCTCCAGCAGCATCATGTAGTGACCTGAACATTCACAACTCAAACACACACAGTGGTGTAGAATTAGCATGGACGGAGTTGACATGTCTCCACCAATATCCACCAATTATTAAGTGTTAGATTACGCCTCCACCAATATCAAAAGCAAATCTGCACCCTTGCACACTCACACACAGCTCAAATCATCATCGATATCAGCAACAACACCAATTATAACATGGTTAGTTAGCTAAAAACTTTTGAGTGATTTGATGAAGATGAAAGTGCAGTTAAACATCTCCCATGGCCTGCACAGTACCCAGAACTGAACATTATTGAGCACTTTGGGGTGTTTTGGAGGAACGAGACAGGGAAGATTTTCCTCCAGCAGCATCATGTAGTGACCTGAACATTCACAACTCAAACACACACAGTGGTGTAGAATTAACATGGACAGAGTGGACTTGTCTCCACCAATATCCACCAAAAAATAAGGGTTAAATTACGCCTGCACCAATATCAAAAAATAAGGGTTAAATTACGCCTCCACCAATATCAAAAGCAAATCTACACACTCACACACAAACAGCTCAAATCATCATCAAAATCAGCAACACCACCAGTCATAACATGGTTAGTTAGCTAAAAACTTTTGAGTGATTTGATGAAGATGAAAGTGCAGTTGAACATCTCCCATGGCCTGCACAGTACCCAGAGCTAAACATTATTGAGCACTTTGAGGTGTTTTGGAGGAGCAAGTCAGGGAAGATTTTCCTCCAGCAGCATCATGTAGTGACCTGAACATTCACAACTCAAACACACACAGTGGTGTAGAATTAACATGGACAGAGTGGACTTGTCTCCACCAATATCCACCAAAAAATAAGGGTTAAATTACGCCTGCACCCATATCAAGAGCAAATCTACACACTCACACACAAACAGCTCAAATCATCATCAACATCAGCAACAACACCAGTCATAACATGGTTAGTTAGCTAAAAACCTTAAGTTACTTTACAGAGTGATATAATGAATATGAATGCACAATTGAACACCTCCCATGGCCTGCACAGTACCCAGAACTAAACATTATTGAGCACTTTGGGGTGTTTTGGAGGAGCGAGTCAGGAAAGATTTTGCTCCAGCAGCATCATGTGGTGACCTGAACATTCACAACTGAAACACACAGTGGTGTAGAATTAGCATGGACAGAGTGGACTTGTCTCCACCAATATCCACTGAATAATAAGGGTTAAATTAGGCCCCCACCAATATCAAAAGCAACTCTATACACTCACACAGCTCAAATCATCATCAACATCAGCAACAACACCAGTCATAACATGGTTAGTTAGCTAAAAACTTTTGAGTGATTTGATGAAGATGAAAGTGCAGTTGAACATCTCCCATGGCCTGCACAGTACCCAGAACTGAACATTATTGAGCACTTTGGGGTGTTTTGGAGGAGCGAGTCAGGGAAGATTTTCCTCCAGCAGCATCATGTAGTGACCTGAACATTCACAACTCAAACACACACAGTGGTGTGGAATTAACATGGACGCAGTGGACATGTCTCCACCAATATCCACCAAAAAATAAGGGTTAAATTACGCCTGCACCCATATCAAGAGCAAATCTACACACTCACACACAAACAGCTCAAATCATCATCAACATCAGCAACAACACCAGTCATAACATGGTTAGTTAGCTAAAAACTTTTGAGTGATTTGATGAAGATGAAAGTGCAGTTGAACATCTCCCATGGCCTGCACAGTACCCAGAACTGAACATTATTGAGCACTTTGAGGTGTTTTGGAGGAGCGAGACAGGGAAGATTTTCCTCCAGCAGCATCATGTAGTGACCTGAACATTCACAACTCAAACACACACAGTGGTGTAGAATTAACATGGACGCAGTGGACTTGTCTCCACCAATATCCACCGATTATTAAGTGTTAGATTACGCCTGCACCAATATCAAAAGCAAATCTGCACCCCTGCACACTCACACACAGCTCAAATCATCATCGATATCAGCAACAACACCAATTATAACATGGTTAGTTAGCTAAAAACTTTTGAGTGATTTGATGAAGATGAAAGTGCAGTAGAACATCTCCCATGGCCTGCACAGTACCCAGAGCTAAACATTATTGAGCACTTTGAGGTGTTTTGGAGGAACGAGACAGGGAAGATTTTCCTCCTGCAGCATCATGTAGTGACCTGAACATTCACAACTGAAACATTAACATGGACGCAGTGGACATGTCTCCACCAATATCCACCGATTATTAAGGGTTAGATTACGCCTCCACAAATATCAAAAGCAAATCTGCACCCTTGCACACACACACTAAAAATGAAATATTTTTCAAAATAAAAGATAATTCAGACTCAAATAAAACAATAAAACTGGAATAATTCATTACTACTTGTGTTGCACAGTGCCAATTGATCCACAGATGGGTTCTGGTCCTCTGCCCAGGAGTTGAGGACCATTGCTGTAAAGCAGGGATCACCGAACTTGTCCCTGGAGGGCCGGTGTCCTGCAGATTTTAGCTCCAACCCTAATCAAACACACCTGAACAAGCTAATCAAGCTCTTACTAGGTATACTTGAAACACCCAGGCAGGTGTGTTGAGGCAGGGTTGGAACTAAACCCTGCAGGGACACCGGCCCTCCAGGATTGAGATTGGTGACCCCTGCTATAAAGTATACCAGAACCTTCATAAAGCGACGTTTATAGTGAACCTGCCCTCAGATTCAGTCCTGACTCAGAGACCGTTCATGTTTGATCTGAAGTTGATGGAGTTCATCTGCTTTCATTAGTTCTGGAGTGGCTCTGCTGATGATGAACATCCAGCATATGATGAAGATGATGATGGTGATGATGATCTCTGGAGGTCAGCCTGTCCTCAGTGGGGAAATGAGTCAGATTGAGATTGAGGAACTGCTTCTGTTGCAGCTCTCCTCACACTCTTCTGATGGGAAATCTGAGCCGTGATGGAGAATAATGCAGTCAAGATGGAGAGAGCTGTTGATTCAGTCACGAGGCTTCAGCTCGAGTCTGAGTGATCATATGTGGCACTGTAATGGCACGATTAGCTTTTAATCATTTATATATGCAGACTTTCTGCAGTGTGCATTTACACTCGCTGGCCACTTTATTAGGTACACCTTATTAGTACCAGGCTGGACCTTTTTTGCCTTCAGACCTGCTTTAATCCTTCGTGGCAGAGATTCAACAAGCGACTGGAAATATTCCTCAGAGATTTTGTTAAGGTTGTTAAGGATTTGCCGTGTGGTGCTCATGTTGTTGCAGTCTTATTCCTAGAGTTTTTGCTGCGTGTTTGCAAGGTTATTCTAGGTAAAATCGATTGATTACCGGTGATTTCTGTATGTGGTCTCCTCACACTGGTTTAGTGCTGATGCAGCGAGCGAAGGCTGGGCTTTGTGTGTGTCCACAGATGCCCTCACTGATCCGCTTCTCACGAAGTTCTCCACTGTGATCATTTATATATGCAGACTTTCTGCAGTGTGCATTTACACTCACTGGCCACTTTATTAGGTACACCTTACTAGTACCAGGCTGGACCATTTTTGCCTTCAGAACTGCCTTAATCCTTCGTGGCAGAGATTCAACAAGCTACTGGAAATATTCCTCAGAGATTTTGCTCCATATTGACATGATCCATGACGCCAATCTCCACCACATCCCAAAGCTGCTCTATTGGATTGAGCTCTGGTGACTGTGGAGGCCATTTGAGTACAGTGAACTCATTGTTATGTTCAAGTAACCAGTCTGAGATGATTCACGCTTTATGACATGGTGTGTTATCCTGCTGGAAGTAGCCATCAGAAGATGGAGACACTGTGCTCATGAAGTGATGGACATGGTCAGCAGCAATACTCAGGTAGGCTGTGGTGTCGACACCATGCTCAACTGGTGCTAATGAGCTCAAAGTGTGCCCAAAGCGCACCCGGTGTTGTCTTCTGCTATGAGGTTGCTGGGCTCTTGCTACTTACTTTCTGTATGGTTTCTTGGGTGTTGCTGTGTGATTCCCATGTGGTTGTTAAGGATTTGCCGTGTGGTGCTCATGTTGTTGCAGTCTTATTCCTAGAGTTCTTGCTGCGTGTTTGCAAGGTTATTCCAGGTAAACTTGATTGATTACCGGTGATTTCTGTGTCTGTGGTCTCCTCACACTGGTTTAGTGTTGATGCAGCGAGCGAAGGCTGGGCTTTGTGTGTGTCCACAGGTGCCCTCACTGATCCGCTCCTCATGAAGATCTCCACTGTGATTCTGATGACGGGTTTATATATCCACTG